GACTGTGCTCTGCCTACCACGGGTATCGAAACCCAGTTTCTAGCGTTGCAAGTCCGCAGACATACCGCTGTGCCACTGGGGGCTACCGAAAATAAAGTGGCGTTATAAAGTGACGGTCAATCTCACTATTTGATTGCAATATCCTAAGTGTTGGCGGTGGATGGTATTGGCAAGCTAGCTGTCTTCTAATCTATCACTTCTCAGTTAGGAATGGGAAGGGCAGATATGCCTTGAGTACATGGGCGTCCGCAGGAAGGAGGCAATTGCCACCCTACCCCCCTCTGGAAAATGAGAAACATAATTCTTTCTTTATTCATTCAGCTTATGAATATGAATTTACAAGTTTTTATTCACTTCACAATTTTACATTACTTCGTTCCCCCCACCCACCCCTCCTGGGAACATTTCTGCAGACGCCCATGCTTGAATAGCTTTGGGTGAAATTCGACAAACAAATAAACATTACAAAAAAGTTCTGTTTGTCCCGTGTTTTAAGGATTTGGTCAAAAGCTAAACCAGACTCGGCTTTGACCCATGTCACACAAATTTCCCACACGCGTCCGTTTGTCCGTTTTTATATTAGTTTGACCTATATTGCATAAATATTTTTAAAAATACTGACAAGCATGAATCATTTTGTCATCTGAACAAATGAAAACTAGATTGTAGTAATAAGCTGGAAAATATGAACGTTTGGTCTACTTTAAATAAGCTGGAAAATATGCACGTTTGGTCTACTTTAAATAAGCTGGAAAATATGCACGTTTGGGCTACTTTAAATAAGCTGGAAAATATGCACGTTAGGTCTACTTTAAATAAGCTGAAAAATATGAACTTTTGGTCTACTTTAAATAAGCTGGAAAATATGCACGTTTGGTCTACTTTAAATAAGCCGGAAAATATGAACGTTAGGTCTACTTTAAATAAGCTGGAAAATATGAATGTTAGGTCTACTTTAAATAAGCTGGAAATTATGCACGTTTGGTCTACTTTTAATTACATTAATTGAGCTCCAGCTTCTTAATTATATCAGGTTTTGTAAATAAGTCACTGCAGTATAGTGTAATATTGGTATTAATTCATCTTTTTTTTGTATGTTTGTGAGAATGTATAATATTTGTAGACGTTAGTAGTTTCCCCTTTACCAGGATCTGGTCTCACGAGATATGGAATATAAAATATTCTACAAGTTAGCACTTCCTTTTCATATACCATCCAAACTGAACTTCCAAAAAATAAAATAATAATAATGACCGTACTCGGTATTACCAGCTACCAAAAAAAAAAAGTTCAAGTAGGTAAGGAAGCAAGTAACACTGTGAAATATTGCTTTTCTTGTGAGCAAAATAAAACAATAAACAAATAAAAACATAAGCGCAGAAATGTACCTACAAGTAATTTTCAGTGAAGCTTGTTTGTTTGTTTTGAATTTCGCGCAAAGCTACACGAGGGCTATCTGCGCTAGCCGTCCCCTACTTAGCAGTGTAATACTAGAGGGAAGGCAGCTAGTCATCACCACCCACCGGCAACTCTTGGGCTACTCTTTTACCAACGAATAGTAGGACTGACCGTAACATTATAACGCCTCCACGGCTGAAAGGACAAGCATGTTTAGTGTGATGGGGATTCGAACCCGCGACACACAGATTGCGAGACGAGCGCCCTAACCACCTGGCCATGCCGGGCCAGTGAAGCTTTATGACCATACTGTGGTCACGTAACCTCAAGAGTTGATCTCCTCAGGTTATCCAGCATCGAGTAGAGATTAGTGACGTAAGTATGCGCTCGAATCAGCCAGAATGGTAACTACAAATTATAGGGGAATAAATGTAGGAGCACAGTTACTTTTTTATGCAAGGAGGGGGCCATCTTTTGTAGTTACCCCACTGCTAGGGCCACATTTTGGAGTTACGCCACTGCTAGGGATTATGGTTGTAATGCCATCTTTTGTAGTTACCCCACTGCTAGGGATTATGGTTGTAATGCCA